GGCATCTGTTATCTCTTGGTTTTTTGTTTTTGTTTTTGGATGAGTTGCTTTTCTACAACAGTCATTTTAACAAGTATGAGGTGTAATATCTCATTGTGGTTTTGATATGTGTTTCCCTGACGATTAGTGATGTCCAGCACTTTTTCATGTACCTCTTGACTATCTGTATGTCTTCTTTGGAAAAATAACTGTTCAGTTTCTTTGCCCAGTTTTGAGCTAGGTTTTTGGGTTTTGCTATTGAGTTGCATGAGTTCTTTATATACTTTGGATATTAAACCCTCATCAAATATGGGATTTGAAGATATTTTCTTCCATTCTGTAGTTGCCTAGAAAATTTCTCAATAGTTCTATCAAGCAGCCTCTTCCATGAATATCTAATCTTCAGGTGTTTTATTTAACAGCTCTACTGAGTTACAATTTACAAAAGCTACTCACTGTAAATGTAAAATTTGATAATTTTGGCACATTTGTGTCATTGGGCAATTATCACACCACCACTGTGAGCCAGTCCTAGAACAGCTCTAAAAAGTTCTCTTGCGCCTGACTGCTGGCAATCCTCGTTCCCAGTCCCAGTCCCATGCAACCACTGATCTGCTTCCTGTCTCCATACATTTGCCTTTTGGGGGGATACTTCATAAGAATTAAACCATGTAGTCTTTCCTGCTTGGCTTTTCTCACTTAGCATAATGTTTTGAAAGTCCGTCCATGTTGTACTGTGTAGCAAGAGTTCATTCTTTATTGCTGAATGGGATTTCATTGTAGGAATATACCACAGTTTGTCCATCATTCACCAGTTGATGGACATTTGCTATCATTTCATCTTTAAATAGTTGAATTCACCATTTGGAACGGGGGGGGGGGATTTTCTTTGTGGGAAGATTTTTAGTTACTGTTTTTATTTATTTACTTCTATTCAAATTCTCTATTTTTTTCTTGAGTTAATTTTGGTAATTAATGCCTATCTGGGAGTTTTTCAAACTTTTCTAGGTTGTCTAATTTATTGACATAGTTCTATAATATTCCACCTATAATTCTTTCCATTTCTGTAGGGTCAGTGATGTCCCTTCTTTCACTCTCGGTTTTAATGGTTTGTGTCTCCCCTCTTTTATTCCTGGTCAGTGTAGGTAAAGGTTTATCAATTTACTTCATCTCTTCATAGAAGCAGGTTTGATTTCATTGGGTTTCTTTACTGTGTTTTGCTTTCTATTTCACTGATTTCTACTCTTTTTATTTCCTTCCTTTTGCTTGCTTTGTGTTTAATTTGCTCTTATTTTTGCTGGTTTAGAGTAGAAGCTCAGATGATTAATTTGAGAACCTCTTTTCTAATATGGGTATTTAAATCTATACATTTCCCTGTAAGTACTACTCTAGCTGCATCTATAACTTATGGTATGTTGTGTTTTAATTTTCACTCAGTTCAAAATATTTCCTAGTGTCCCTTATGATGTCTTCTTAGATCCATGCGTTACTTATAACTGTGTTAACGCCCACATATTTACGGAATTCCTAAATTTCCTTCTGTTAATGATTTCTACTTTAATTCTGTTAAGGTTGAATGGTTTCAATTCTTTCAGATTTATTATTATGACATACCACATGGTCTGTCCTGGTCTATTCCTTTTGTACATGAAAAGAACATATACAACACTGTTGTTGGGTGGAGTGTTCTACAAATGTCATTAGGCCATTTAGGTCACGTTTGATAGTGGTGTTCAAGTCTTCTATATCTTTGCTGACTTCTCTGTTTAGTTATTGTATTAATTATTGAAAGGAGTATTAAAATCTCTCTGTTGAATTTGATGTTTCTTATTTTCTTCTGTCAGTTTTTGATTCATGTATCTTGGGGCACTGTTGTTGTATATGTATACACTTTTAATTGGCATATCTTTTTCATGTATTGGTTCCTTTATCATTATATGTATATTTTACAAGTGAAGTATAGTTGATTTATAATGTGTTTCTGGTGTACAGCAAAGTGATTCAGATATACATAGATTTATGTCCAAGAATGTTTTGACTGTTCTCTTCTAGGAGTT